GTGGCAGACTCCAAAGCGGATTTAGCAAATATGTGAGAGTGACGAAGCATCAATCGATTGGGTCTTGTCGAAAAAAACACAAGGTTGCTGCATCTGCCAAGCACGGACCACCAGCAGCAGCTCCTTTACTCTGGGTGGTGCTAAGTGTAGGTAGCTCACCTCTCACCTTTCACTCACCTCACTGAAGTCGGGAGCGGTTTGTCAGGCCTCATTGGCTCTAGGCGGCTCTAAGTGGCTCCCCGGTGGTGCGGCGTGCAGGCTCTCTGCAGCTGTGCAGCCGTGCCAGCTGAGGCGGCGGAAGGGGCACCAGGAGCACTGAGATACTTCCAGCGCGTTGGTCCCGGTTCCGGTACGTACCTGCTTTGGCGTGTGCGTCTGGCTTGATGATTGTCTCTGATTGGCCGACTCCGCGATCGTACTGGAGCCTGCTGAATCGCCGCACTGGAAGAAAATAGGGACCCTTAGTGGAGCCATGGAAACCAAGTCAACAACGTCACTCCCAGTGTCGGCCCTCGGGAACTGACGGCGGGACACTGGCCGCAGATAGAACAATTCTGATGTCTGGATACAGAAAGAAATATCCACCAACTCAGACACTCTATCATTCCCCCAGGACCTGAGGCCTACAGTTTGACAACTCAATTAACCCTCGCTCAAGTAACGGAAACCTCGAGACTACGAGGGTCAGTCGATGTCAATCTCATCGTCATCCTGCCCCATCTACGCCTCTGTGGAACATTCCGCCCGAAGTCTGTTGACTCGCAACCAACTCACAATCTCCGGGGAATGCTCCTGGTGAGAGCACTACTTATGCTATCCATGGTTCAACGTAGCCAATGAGCAACCCGACTTTTTGTACCATTTCGAAAAAGGCCAGACGGGACTTACATGCGAACTGGCTCGGTCCTGTTGTGAACCGGAGGTATATCGCCGATCAACCTGAGCTGCAAGGATGCTAAGAGAAGGACTTACAGCTGATTTCATATTTATTTGGATCAGGCCATCAGTGTAGTAAACGGGTTACACTTGGCTTTGATCGCCAGAAGTGGACTTCTAAGGCAGTCTGCACATTTGGTTTCCTCTGAAACTTAGTCCCGAGTTGGGGGATTTGGAGCCGAGCTGTCCTCCGACTTCAATTTCCTAAATTCCTAGAACTTCACAAAAGGCAGACGACGTATATGCCTTCATACTGGCCAGTGATACTGCACGGGACACGCGCCAGTAGCTTTGACTAGCTCTTTCACACCGCAGTATCCTTTGAGCGGCTTGTACAGCTTTACTTGTTGGCTATCTTTCCTTTATCAACACAACCGTCAACGACGATGATTATGATAACGAGGAAAATGAGACTCAACGCGGCCAAGATGGCCCTCGTGGGTCGCCAGTACTCAACTGCCATGGCCATCACCGACCCGCTCGTCAAATACCGCACCCTCATCTCAACCAAACTTCTCGCCCCAGACCCCTCTCAACACCGGCTGGCAATCCATCTCCAAAAATTGTATACCCGCTTGAAAGACTACGCCCCGGAAGAGGACTATCGGGAGCGTCTGAAGCAAGTCGCCGACATCCCTGAGGCTCAAGACCCCGAAAAGGCCGCTGCGAGATTGGCCATGCCAAACCATCCCATATGGGATAACCCGCTGTTCAAGCATGTGTCGAAGAAAATCATGCCTGAGACGAAAGACCCCAACCCGATGGCTCTCGTCAGAGTCATGACCAGCCTCGAGGGCGCCATCACCATCAACTCCCCCAGAGGCCTCTTCCTTTCAGGCGAAGTCGGCGTCGGCAAATCGATGTTGATAGATCTGCTGGCCCAGGGCCTGCCGACAGAGAAGAAGAGGCGGTGGCACTTCAATACGTTCATGCTCTACACATTCTCACAGCTCGAGAAGTTCCGTCGGTCTCACCCAGAGCTAAGCGGCAATGAGAAGGAGTACTCCATGCTTTGGCTGGCTAAGAAACTCGTCGAAGAGTCTCCGATTCTGTTCCTGGATGAGTTTCAGCTTCCGGACAGGGCAGCAAGTAAGATCTTGTCCCACCTGTTCATAGCCTTCTTCCACCTCGGCGGGGTCCTCATCGCATCATCCAACCGCATGCCTGAGGAGCTACAGAAGGCCATTGGTGTCGAGTACACAGTCCCTCCGTCAGACGGTTTTCTGAAGAGCCTGTTTCTTGGTGGCGCACGATCCAAGGCTACTCTCCACAGTCAAAACGACTTTGCAGCTTTTCTGGAAGTATTGAAGGCGCGATGCGACTTTTGGCACATGGAAGGGGCAACGGACTTTAGACGTCGAGAAACTGTTGAGACTATTGCAGTCGAGGCCCCTGTAGCTGGCTTCATAGGTGGGGAGGAGCTGGCTAAGAATGAGCCCAAAGACGGTATGTCCATTGCCTTTACTTGTATCGAATCATCTGTTGCCGAGCATTATGAACCCACCTCCCTCATCCAGGGCAAAACCCACCCATCTCAACATCTTCAGTCGAACTCGCACCAGCGCGTCCTTTCTTTACCAAGTAACAAAGACTAACATCACTAGAAACATCAACACCGGCCAAATACTTCCTGCTCACGCCCGACACAACCCCTTGGACAACTGCCCTAGCCCAGCACCTCTCCCACCCTTGGTCCCCAGCAACGCTGACAGTCTACGGCCGCACAATCTCCATCCCCCGCCAACACGGCGGCGTCGTTTACTGGGACTTTGACGCCCTCGTCGCGACCCTCGGCCCAGCCGACTACGTGACCATGGCCTCGACCTACCACACCTTCATCATCGACAACGTCCCGACCCTCACGGCCCTGCAGAAGAACGAAGCCCGCCGCTTCATAACCCTCCTGGATGCCCTCTACGAAGCAAGGTGCAAGCTCTTCGTCCGCGCCCAGACGGGACCCGACAACCTCTTCTTCCCGGACATCCGTGCCCAGGAGGAAGCTGTGGCAGCAGCTGCCGCCGCCGGGGAGGAGGTCGTCGACTCGGACGCGATCCACTCTGAGACGATCGCCGAGGTTTACCAGGACTCCGCGGCGCCGTTCAGACCCAACATCTCCTTCTACGACACGGAACTCCCGACGGCCAAGTATGACCCCGATCAAGATTCCGATTTTGGCAAGCTGGGTCACGTTGGTGGCGGCGGTGGGAGTCCCAACTTCAGCAACACGGCAGCGTTTACGGGTGAAGACGAGCGGTTTGCTTACCGTCGTGCGGCGAGCAGATTGTGGGAGCTATGTAGCGAGGCATGGCATGCTCGAGGAGGTTCGCCCGGGGAGTGGTGGACTCCTGTGCCCCGGGCGTCGCGGCACTGGGAGAACTCCTTGCCGTCAAAACCCAAGAAGGACGAGCCTCTGCCGCCGCGCGCCAGACAGGCGGATGCCATGATGGGTCCGTCGAGGCCTGTTGATGGACCGTTCGGTACCGACAAGCTCGTGATTGAAAGACGAGAGGCTTTGGAGGAGGCGGAGCGCAGGCTCGGGCAGTCCGGTGGGAGGTGAAGCTTTTGGTTGTTTGGAATATCCATGAGATCCGATTTAGGATAGCATATGCCGGCGCATAGCATAGCATTTTGGCGACGCTGGGCCCACGCACGCGCCCATCGCATCGGGCGATATAGACCTTTGAGTCTCGTGATAGATATCGTACAACGCCGCCAGTAGAACCTGGCCTGACAACATAGACTCGCAATTCGATTTACAGTACCTCCCGTCTTAAAAACGCCATAAACTCCTCGTTCTGGAGACTTTCCAACCGTCTCACAGCGTCGTGACGCCAGGCGTCCATGCCTCACCAATCCTTCGTACATCACCCTCAAACTTCTTGCTCTTGATCACTCTGCCCCCGCGTCCAGACACCGGCGAGTGTTCGTCGGGCTCGTAAAAGGGGTTCTGCAGCAACCTGACGTAGGCGCTCTGCACCGCCCTGAACACGACCCGCAACTCCTGCTCACGAAGCCCGACAGCTCCCCGTCCTTTGGCAGAAGCCGCAACAGCGTCGCCACCGCCGCCGACCCTCCGCCCGCGCATGTCCACGACGACGACGATCTTGACGCCGGTGTTCGTCTCCCAGCCGTAGGCGGCGAGCCGCTCGTCGACCGCGTGGAGGAGGCCGACCTCGCCCGAGAGACCGGAGCCCCCACTGGGAGCACCTGCCGCGTTGGGCCCGCTTGCATTGTGTCGTAGTTCGAAGATATCTAAGGTTGAGGAGAGGAGGAGGGAGAACTGGAGTGGCGTGCGGATCGGGGCGAAGGTGTTTGTTGACGGGTTGTACGACGGGAATATGGAGATGTGGAGAGGGTTGTTCTGTTGCTCTCGTCAGCAAGTGTCGTCATTGCCAAAGAGCTCCAGCAAAGGATGGGCGGTTTGATGAAGAGCTCTGGAGCATGCGGAGAGGGTGGTTTGTCTGCGAGTTGGACGTACATTGCGGCCGATGATGCCTATGCAGGCTATTGAGGGGATCGCGGTCGCCATAGCCACATCCGCTGTGCTTCCTTGCGCTGTGCTGGTTTCGGTTGGCGTTGAATTTGCGGCGGAAGATGCGCAATGCGGTTGATGGACACGGTATGCTTGAGGTCGAACGTCGTCGCAGAGGAGGGTTGGAGATTGGAGAGCTGGGGTAGGTACCTTAGCTGTGGTGTCGGCGGGAGCTTAATTGATTTTTGGGTCCCCCAAATGCCCCGCATCGATGTCAGGGGTCGCTGTGGGAGGAAACCTACCTAGGCAACGGATCTTCAACGGCTGCGTACCTAGCACTTGGAGCAATGACCGTGTCGTCAATATTAACAAAATGGCCTCTGGTGGTCAAATATGTGTTTTGCAGCAGTCAGCATATTGCAGACTTTCTGTTAAAATAGAGTTACAAATTGTAAAGAATAATCCATTATTCCAGTAACCATCATACAAGCTGGTAAAAGTTGGACCATGAGACGAGCTCTCGTGCTCGTGCTTGGTAACGAAAGCGCCAGACCAATAAACCCCATATTCCGCATAAAGACATTATAGCTCCTCATTCGGCATCGTCGTCTGACCAATGCTCCGTATCCTCGAGTCCCTTCAGCACCTCTTCGATCTCGTTCGGGTCGGTGATGGCCCATACGCCACCGCCCTTGACCGAGTCCTTTCCTCTCATACCCACCTCTTTTCCGACAAGGTTGCGTCCGACCTTGCCGGGCCCGATACCAATCCACCGCCTCACTTTCTCCTCCTGGTCGAGATATTTGATACTGTCCCACCACCTCACCGTCTCCAGGCACTGCCGCGCCAGGAGGTCCTTCACGTCCTCCTTGCTCTCGAACGGCCTCGCGCTGACATTGCTTATACAGGGCAACTTGCCCGGGAATGTGATAATATCCTCCCCTTCACGCCCCTTGACCCTGCTCTTCTTGTTTAGAATGCTCTTCACAACCGAGACTGCAGGCTTCATGATCGGGCTATGAAACGGGCTGTCGCTGTTCAACCGCACGGCGCGTGGGTCATGCCCTAAGAACTGCCTAACGTGTGTCGCAAGAGTCTTGATCCGCTCGATGTTGCCGCTCAACACGATTTGGTTCTTGCTGTTGATGTTCGCAATGAGCACCTGTTCTATCGGCGGGACGTCTTCCGAGCTCTCCCCCTTGGATCCTGCGCTCGAGTGTCCCACAAAGTCGTGTATAGCCTCGATCAGGCCCTTCAAGTACTCCGGTTCTGTCACTATAGCCACCATGCCGTACTCCCCGCCGTATTCATCCATGGCACGCCTTGTCGCCTCATGCATAGCCTCGGCCCGCTTGCGCACCAGATATAAGCTGTCTTCGAACTCGAGGTATCCGCCCGCCACCAGCGCCGCGAACTCTCCCAGCGAATGCCCCAGAGTGACGTCGACGCGCTGTGGGATGTCGAAGCCGAACTCGCGCTCAAGGATGCGGAGGATGAGGATCGAGGTCGCCATGATGGCGGGCTGGGCGTTGGGCGTCTTCGTAAGCAGCTTGCCGGGCCCGTTGGCGATGATGTCGGAGAGCTTGTAGCCCATGTAGTGATCAATCTCCTCCAAGATGGGCTTCGCCGTCGCCGGGAAGGCCTCGAGCCATGGTGTGATCATGCCAACCTTCTGCACTCCTTGGCCTGCGCGGCGTAACGTCAGCTCATCCGTCGCCAGCAAAGACGAGTTCATCCCTCTTTCTGTTCCCCTCCTCGCCTCATGTCTACTGACCTGGAAAGAACAGCGCCGTCCGCGGCCGCTTCCCTTGCGTCGAGGCATGCCGCCGACTACTCCTGGAAGCAATGTCTATCGTATGTGTCGTCGTCGCATTACATCTCCTGCCGAGGCTGCCGAGCCCATCAGCCCATATGCGTTGGCCGCCTCGGCGGAGGGAGTGAGCTCCGGGAGCTGTCATGGCCAGTGGCGCCAGCCGATTACAAGCTGGGGGAGCTAGATTATCGCGAACATGAGCTTGTGTCGACAACTCCCATGCGAATTTCGAAGCAAGCACAAAGAGCCTAGAGAGGACTAAGAAGGAGAGAAGTAGAAGAGGGAACAAAAGAAGTTAACGAGTCTCAAGTTTGCGCGAACTAGACCGTCGAATGTGTCACACAGCCAACCTAAGCCACGGGCGGCATAGGGAACGTGGTAGTGGCGTTCAATGCCATGACGCCAGATGGAATTGGCGGATGCTCCAAGTGGCCGCCCCTAACCGAAGTCCCGAGGCCGATGGACCTCTCGCTGGAGTACCCCGCGATTGCGCGCTGAAGACCACCTCTTACAGCGCGTTTTCTGGGTTCCGCTGCGCCGGGCGGGGCACGTCAGCAGATGCTCAGCAGATCATTCCAGGGACCAGGGGGGGCCCGATGCGATGGAGATCTGTAGATTCCTTGTTGGATGCCGAGTCTCGAAGAGTCATAGCTCTTCGATTGAGGCACCCGACATTGAAGCACATGGCTAGAGTGCGTCAGAAGCAACAGCAGCGTCAATCGCCGTTGCCATCTTGATGTCTTCTACCTTAGTGCCCGACTAGCCGTTAAGCTAATAGAGTCATTGATCGAGAAGCATGTGAAATAACCAATGTTTTTCAACTCTAAGTCATTAATTTGGCCTGACCCTGCCGACTAACATCGCGTTTCTACACCGCCCTTGCTGACTGTCAAGTACTTGACTCCTTTGTATGGTTTAACACCCTCTCCCAGGCCTTTGCTCTTGCGAGGGTCGATCAAGATGCTTTCCACTTTTAGGCCACTCGGTAGCCAACCCTTCACCGAGAAGCTCACCGAGGCTGAGCTGGGCATCAGCATCTTGTTTTGCGCCACCTTCTTCGCATCTTTCTCGTCGTCGGCCTTTTCCGTCGTCTTCTTTGCTCTGACGGGGCTTGTTGCTTGATAGGGTTCATCGTAGGCATACGACTTCCCGAATCCAAATCCAGTAGGGTCCAGCTCATCGTCCTCCTCGTCAGGCAGTTGGCCAACAACTGTACACCTAAGACCGAAGTAAGAAGTGCCGACTGACAGCTCCTTTGTAGGAATGTGCCACTCCAAAACCTTCTCACCAGGACTGAAGCTCGCGTCTCCCTTGCTAGGTCGTAGTTCCGGGAGGTTTCTAACCTCAGCTGGCAACGGCACCGTAACGATAAGATCCTCCATCAGCGGCGATGCAGGTGTTCCAGCATGGGGACCTCCAAACCCTCGACCTGCACCGCCTCCGCCTCTGCCATACTGGCTTTGTGCAGACGGACCTCCTGTGCCTAGAACCTTATTCACGTGAAGCCGAATCTCGAAATCAGAGCCTGTCGGTCCTAGTCCAGTTTTCATCTCAATGTTGACAGGCAGCTTGAGATTATTTGAACTGATGTTGCCACTCTTGCCGCTTGTGAACGGGAGCAAGTCGACTTCGTAGCTGGCCAAGATGAACCGGCCGTCTGGAGGTATGAAGCTCAGCTCCCCTGGCCTCTCTTTCCATCTTGCCAGACGGACACAGGGGTGGAACACAGGTAGGTCCATGAAACCCGCCAGATTGTGTTTGCCCGATGGACTTGTTAATGCCATGACGATGTCAGGTACGCCTGACACTTTGCAGGTGAATGCTATTGTTCCATTGGAAAAAGCCGCCAGTGGTCTCCCCGAAGGAGCGAGAGTGACAGTAAGAGTCTCGACGATATCTGCGTACATCTCGTTGGAGGTATGTCGTACATTGGCTCGACGCCAGGGTAAGGCCGGCGTGTTTTGTGCAATTATCGACGGTGCGCTCGAGTTTGAGAAGCTTGTGCCAAAGTTTCCAGGCTTCCTGTTCGCATTATCAGATACGGCTCGTCTTGAGCTCTTGAAAGTAACCCTTACCCTGGTAAATTGATGCTCCCCAACAGCTTTCCTACCCAGCCCTCCACCTCGACCAAATCCCTCAGCGCATTTGGTTCCGTGGTGTTGATGTTGCCGGCATCGCACATCTCATTCAAGAGCTGCGCTACGACATCGTAGTTGCTCTCGATCTTGTGCGCCAGCAAGGGAGCACCGAGGAACTCTTCAAACACATCGATTATGCGGTGTATGAACTCGAGGACGAGGAGAGGCTCGATATCAGACGAGGAAGTCGCGAGGAAGAGGAGGTTGGCGTGCTTGAGGCTGAAAACAAGCGTCGGAGGACTTGTGTTTGGAAGGTATAATACGTTCGGGCGCGGCGCGGGATGTTCTAGGTAGAGGGGTAGGAGATGCTGTGCTGACAGCGGGCGACCCGTGTACGTATGCGACAGGATGGCATGGCTGCGCGGTGTCAGTATCTCTCACTAAACGAGCCGACTTCAAAAGATGACTGACTTGTGCTCATCATAGATGTGCAGCGCCTCAATAACGCCGTTCATCGTCACGTCGGCATCGGAGGCTGCGCCGTGTAGTTGATGAGTGTGTGGGGGGAAGCTCTTCCTCTCCCTCTTGGTGACAGTCGGTGCTTGGCCGCTGGCGGGAGCTCCAGCTGCCAGGAACCACCGTCCCGCCATCGCACATGCTCGATGATGAAATTAAATGTTAGTGCAAGGGAACGGCTCCTCCCAGCCAATCACACGTCACGCAACCCTGCTTCCATCTCAAGCTCCCCAGATTGTACGGTGCATCGGAGCCTTTGGTCGCAAAAACACCTGACGATCTTTCAGACCTCTTCGGGCAGTTCAAGCACCAAAAAACAGCCATGTTTGGAGGAGGAGACAAAGTCCCCAACGTGGGCACCCTCGACAAGCCCGAGAAGCTTGACGATCTCCTGCGCGAGGACCGCGGCGATGATTGCATGTCCTGCAGAGTTGTCGGTAAGAGCAATGCGTTCCCAGACCGTTGTAGGCGGCAAAATACTAATGTTATTGCATTCAGGAAGCGGTGCATTTCTCGGTCTTGCAGCCTACAACTACATGTCCGGAATGGGCCAACTCGAAAAGCAACGTCCGTTAATCCTCAAGTCCAAGTCAATGTTCGGTATGCAGAGTCGCAAGATGGGCATTATCAGCATCTCCATGGGCTTGACATACTTGGGAATCTGGAGATTCTTCAGATAATGAGATGTAGGCCAAGAAGGCTCTTGGAAGCTTTACTCACCACTCAGCCCATACGCACGAGAAGGACTCGTCGGCAGGATCAGAAGAGACGTGCGGAGGTCAACCCAGGGCCGTCGCATTGCCAGCCAGCCGCAGTGCGCAACACAAGGCGTCAAGGGAGCAGTTATACCGCCTGTTGGGACAGCTATTTGCCTCCATGCGATGCATACTCCCTGCAAGGATTGTTCATGCCTCTCGCCATCTGTGCAGCGAGCAAATGTTGTATGCAACCGCTCAAAAGCTGCGACAGAGCTGTACCATATACACATGTATAAATGAAGAACACTAGTTTGTAATCAATTTAGTAAAGAAAACAACTCATTCTATGCACCTGGACGGGACTTTTTTTGTTGTTGGGTTGCCAAAACGCAGTGGCTCGGTGACGGTCCATCAATCGCATGCTCTGATCTGCCCCTCCATAGCTTCACCAAAAATTCTTTGCACCTCAATGTCAACTACACAACACCACCACAATACCCCACGAAACCCAGCCAAACTTGCGATTGGCGCCTAAAATCGAGAGAAACAAGCTCAAAATTGCCCAACAATTCAAATTTCGCCTGGAACCGACTGAGATCTAGCATCACCGTCCCGTCCCGTCCTCCTACGGCCTCGTCGCCGTCCTCTCTTCAGAATGCCCATCACAATCCTTGCCCCGAGAGGCACACCGTCACGGCCAAAGCTCGCGCAACGCCCCAGCGACTCCGACTCAGATTCCGATGGCGGCGTCGATATCGAGGGCGATGTCTCCATGTCTCGCCCAGCGAAGCGCCCCCGCGGCGACAACTACGAGATCGTCACGCCCGGTGAAGTCATCACCGACGACCCCCAGTGGATGAGGTTCGTGCTACGCCGCTTCTCTTCCCCCTGTCTCTTTCCATTGCACCGGTGCACTCCTGAGGAGACATGTATTCTGACTTCCCACGCAGAGGCCACGGCACCTACATCACCCCGAGCACCACCGAAATCGTCTCCTCCGTTGCGGGAACCGTAACCCGCACCAACAAGCTCCTCTCCGTCCGGCCCCTGCGCGCCCGCTACACCCCCGAGATCGGCGACCTCGTCGTCGGCCGCATAGTCGAGGTTCAGGCCAAGCGCTGGCGCGTCGACGTCGGCTCCTCGCAGCTCGCCATCCTCCAGATCTCCGCCATCAACCTGCCCGGCGGCATCCTCCGCAAGCGCACCGACACGGACGAGCTACAGATCCGCTCCTTCTTCGCCGAGGGCGACCTCGTCGTCGCGGAGGTCCAGCAGCTACACCAGGACGGCGCGGCGAGCTTGCACACCCGTTCTCTGAAGTACGGCAAGCTGCGCAACGGCGTCTTCTGCGCGGTCACCGGCACCGGGGGCGGCGGCGGTGTGGTGCGCGCCAAGAGGCAGCAGTGGGTGATGGACGCGGCGAGGGGCGCGGCAAAGGTTCACGTCACGCTCGGCGTCAACGGGTTCATCTGGATTGCGAAGCATGTCGAGAGCGAGATGCCCGAGTCGGTTGGGCTAAACCGCATGGAAGAGAGCGTGAGCGCCAACGTCTACTCCAGCCAGAACGACCAGATCGATGTCGAGACCATGCGGGAGATTGCGCGTATACGGAGTGTGATTTTGGCGCTGGTAGAGAATGGCCTGCGCGTGGACGAGGACTTAGTAGTCAGGGGCTACAAGGAGGCTGTCGAGATTGGAATGGAGAGCGTCGAGGACGACATCTACCTTGGAGGCGAAAGGGGGAAGAGGCTTGCGGAGGCCTTGCTGAAGGAGTAAGCATGTCACCTGGCTACATTGGGGACGTTCGAGAACCAGGAATAGATCATGTTCGTGGAAAATGTCTTGAGACCAAGACTCTAATAGACAAGAAGGGTTCAGTGTAACCACCAAGAAAAACCCAGAGTCCGCCAGACACAGGAACGCTATGCAGTATTTATCTATAGGCCGTACTGTTCGGCCATGGTATCATTAATCCCAACAGCACGACAAGAACGAGCCTCTCAGGAGGTCTCCACCAGCTCCGCACCGGCGAAATATCCCTTGTTCTCGATTACGCCTCGGTCCTTGACGAAAGCCGTGTACTTGACAACCCACTCCGGCACGAGGTCGCCGTACAGGCCCTCTCCGCCTTCGAGCGGATCGGCAAGAACGCCAGCGCCCTGCAGCCCGTGACCAAGAAGCTCGCGGAGGGTACCGCTAGGCAAAATATCGGTGCAGTCGGTGTGGACGAGCAATTCGACGCCCTCTGTCTTGGCCAGCTTGACGAGAGTGGGAGGCACGCTACAGCAGTCCTTGGTGTTGATCTGGTCAACGGCGGGGCGGATGTCAACCTTTTTGATGAACTTGGCAAGCTTCTCGGTGCCAAATTCAGAGATGCCGAGGGCCTTAACCTCACCGCGGCGGTACAGGTCCTCGAGTACAGTCCATGTCGCGGCCTCCTGGTCGATGTTGCCTTGGCTGGCGTTGCGCTTGTCAGCCTCCCACTCACAATCTCCCTCGAAGGACATTCCTGGGAATGAGGCGATCAGAAGATCTATCGTGGTGACGCCGAGTTCCTTCCTGACGAGGTCCAGGGCCTCCTGCACGTAGCGCTCGCGTTCTTCAGCAGGCGCGTTTGGGAGGAAGAAGAGCTTGACAGTGATATCGTAGTTTGTCGGCTCCTCTTGCAGACCTGAGTAGGACCAGTCTATCCGTGGAATGTAGAGGGCACCGTCTTCGCGAGCGGTCCAGATATCGAGGCGGGGCCGCCCAGAACGACCGTTCTCGCCATTCGAGTAGCCATTCGAGTTTCCGTTTAGGGTTCCGTCAGCCTCGTCATCGTCGATGGGGGATGCCTCCGAATAGGGCGAGTAGTCCTGCTGAGCAGCGAGAAAGTTGCTTCGCAGCGAGTTGGTGAGTTCGAGATTTGATCTGTATGCGCCTGGTTTGCGGATTATGGAGGGGCCACCCGAGACAATGTTTCTGCACGCGGCGGAGGATCACCAATCAGCTTCAGGGCGCAAGTATGAATAATCAAAGAAAAATTGGGAAAATGCAACGCACCCCGTGGATAGGATTAGTTTCGTCATGACGGGCGGGTAATTATGGAGGCCGTAGAATATTCGTAGGGAGACGTGAGGTTGAATTTGGCTCTGGGAAATGGTCGATCGGAGCAGATTGCGTCGTGAAGGGTCCTTATCGCGCAATATGATGGTGTCGATTTGACGTCTGTCGCACTTTTTTCTGGGTGCCGTACTTTTTTTTTTAGAGTTTGGAGGGGTTGATTAACAATCTGAGGGGAGAGGGTGCCGATAAGGATAGGCTTGGTAATGTCGGTAATCACAGGTAAGAGGGATCAATTAATAATGGTTGGCGCACGGCATGCGAGATTCGGCTTATTGTGGGAGATAAATCGGAAAGATGCGGTGCAATGTGCCGTGCCCGGTGCAGACGTCGTGAAGAGTATGCAATGCCGGTGTGTGTATGGCTTCTAGAAGATGTTGAAACCTGGGATCCCTAGGTCGAAGGATGTTTTGTTTGTTGATCGATTGGTAGCGTGGTTTGTTTGAATGGAATAATTGAGGACAAGAGCGGGAAGGGCGTCGGAGGCTGGAATTGGTGCCCTTTTTCATAGACGGGCCGGAGAATCGACGAGTCGTCTCAGTGACAAAAATGGATGACTGAATCAAGACAAGAATCGTCGATTTCCCTTGTCCAAAGACGCTGTCCGCACATTCCCCCCTCACCATCCCACCTTGCACCCCTCCTCTTCCGCGGTGAACTCGGCAGGAGCCCGACTCCGAGGGGCAGGTCATTGGCGCATAGTGGGGTGTAGCATATCGCGTCAGCGCCTCTGGGCAGATTTGTATGCACTTCAGTGCTGCAGCGTATCTCCCCCCCACTGGCCGCGACCTATGAGCTGCTGTTGTCTGCTTGAATCGTCGTGGTTTGGCTCTGTCCGACTCAGACCTACATCTCACGCTGAAGATCTGAGGCACGAAGCCATCGGACGCCTTCTCCCGAGCACCAAGCTTGTTTTGCAAGGACCTAGATAGGCTTCGGTTCATGGGGTACATCCGCTGGAGAAAACCCAGACCCGAGAATTCCCATAGAGGGCTAACACACTGTGGTGCGCCGCTGACTTCCACCGAGCGCCCTGTAGCCTCCCTGGGCTCACCGAAAGCCCAGTCAGCTATGCCTGCTGCCTGAGGATGCAGTACCTGCCAGAATTGACACCTTGCGCTGCCCAGCCTGACGTGACCCCGGCTTTCGCCAAGGGGCAAGAACACCATCGACGACCGAACCACACCCTGTGCAATAGTTCGTCGCCAACCTTACTCTGCTGCTCGGTCTGCTCTGCTCGGCCGCCGTACTGCATCGGACTGCATTGGATTGAGATCCACACAACATCTCCTAAGACCATCCATCATCTCTCGACCCGAACATCTTTCTAGTCCACCCTGCTGGGTGATGTGAAAGCATCATCATGGCCATCCAGTATGCTCCCCCGTCACTCTGTCTACTGGTACATCTGAGCGAAATAGCTGAATGACGGCGCAGATACCTCATTCTTCTCTCCCGTCAGGGCAAAGTGGTATGATCTCATCCCTTGGACAGGCCTTCCTTCCCACTAGGTTGCTGATCACGTCCCCTCTGCAGCGTCTGGCAAAATGGTTTACCACGTTGTCGCCTAAGGAGAAGGCCAAGATTGTCAAGGACGTCTCCCAGCTGGTTCTGGCTCGCAGAACTCGCATGTGCAATTTCTTAGAGTACAAGGGTCAGTTTCTCCTCGTCAAGCGTGTTGATAGCACCAACTGATGTTCCTCAGACTCAAAGATCGTATACCGCCGATATGCCTCGCTCTTCTTCATTGCCGGTGCCGCCTCCGAAGACAACGAGCTGATCACCCTCGAGATCATCCACCGCTACGTCGAGCAGATGGACAAGTACTACGGAAATGTGTGCGAGCTTGATATCATCTTCTCATTCACGAAAGCATACTACATCCTGGACGAGCTGTTATTGGCGGGAGAACTGCAGGAGAGCAGTAAAAAGAACGTGCTACGGTGTATATCGCAGCAAGACTCGCTCGAGGATATGGAGGTACGTTTGCATATTGCTTGCATGTTGCTTTGGTTGGGTTTGAACCGCGTGCTTCCACAACTATGACCTGCAGCTGCGCCAACGGCGAAGTTTATGGCTGACAATCTCCCCCCAATCCCACAGGTCGAGGACGAGGTTACAAAGATCATGTAACCCGCCTCCAGTGTGTAGCTACCCATGGATGGCAACACGATTCCCGACAACGAGTCTCGATCCAGTCTACGAAATTCACATATACTTGACACTGGCTGCAAGAGGGCGTGCAGCTTTGACGAGCATTTGGCTAATGGGCGCTCTGCCATTCATCCAGGAAACGGAAGAGATCACGTCGTCGCTCAAGAAAGTGGGCATCCTCTGAGGCGTTCAAGCCGATCGACCGTCGGTGGCAGAGTCAGAGGCAGGTCGCGTTGAGGCGACGAGGCCGATGCGCGACAGTGGGACAACAGCACAGAGTAGGTGCAATGGCGGACGGAGGGGCCCGATCGGCCTTTTGTGTGCATAGATCTTGGAAGATGGAAAACCATCCTCTGCAAATATCAAGAGAAGAAACATGAGTTGGTGCGGGTTGGGCAGATTAGCATCCGCGAGGCCCGTTGGCTTGGAGCCGTCCCCAGACACGTCGCAGAAGCAGACCACGGGGCCCGAGTCGGCGATGGTACTCGACGAGAGCTGCACTCCGGGAAAGACATCAAAGCTGCTAATAGAACTAGCATTACGCCGCGAATGAAGGCCAGCTCTACGGGAAGCTGCAATTGTGCATTCAGACTGTATGAAGTCATGTCCCGAGATGGGGCGTCCAGCTTCACTCACTCGTGGCCTCTTGACGCCATCTCATTCGCCTGGAGATTACCGGCTGCGCCCCCCCTTTCAAGGCGAGCAGTGGAGCGGACTGTTCTCGGTCACGGGTGGTCCCCAACAAGCAGGAAACAGACAGGGACTGGACCCCGACTCCCTAGGCGGTCCCCCGCGAATCCGGTGCCAAGGACGACGCAGGCCGTCGCAGCGCAGTGCGGCAGCCCAGCAGGACCAAGATACGCTTTGTCACAGACTCCCCGTTGGCCCCGCCCCCGTCCACTCTCGGCTCCTATCTTTGGGACTGGTCAATGGTCACCCGTATCTCCGATATGGTAATACAGATGGGCCTGCCAACTTTCGCTGTCTGGCCATGTATGTGCGATTGGGCACTTGTATGGCCAATACCTACCTACCTTACGGATACGGTGCCAGCAGACTGGGCGGGGACCTTGTCAGCCCGGAAGCCAACCCGCTGCAGCGACACGACACAGACCAGCACCAGGCCATAGTCCACACCCAATACACCCCGGCGGCCCTTGGAAGGCGTCACCGCACCTCAGTCAGATCAGCCGAAGCTGCAACAGCACCACTGCCGCCGCCGCCAACTCTACTTTCCCGCCCTCTCCCGCCTGGTCTCTGCTTTAAACTCCTCCGTCACCCCATCCCTTACCCCTCCGTCTCCCGACTTCAACAACACTTCACCAAAACATCCGTTATTTAGTAATGTCTGTCGACCAGATCACTCACTAGGCGCATCGCGTCTAGCCTCCGTTCCATCACCCGAACCGAACTGATCAACAGGGTCGAGTCGCTCCTTGCCATAGCTTATCTAGAGCAGGCAGGCTACCGGCTTCCTCCAACGAACCAGACAGCAACCTCCGCCATCAATACCAACTTCGCATCATCGCGACGCATCATTTGCGCCTCATCGCGTCTTTCTGCATCACTCCGATTCTCTGCACGTAGAGACACCGCCTTCCGGCTGCCGCCGCCCCTTTCCCATCTGGCGCGACTCGGAACCCCCGTGACATCATCCGACACGTTAGCACTACGGAATCCAACGGCTCCATTACAACCCGATCGCAGCGCGATACCGGCGATAAGCCAACACAGCCCCCGGATCTATAGCAAGGGAGCTCGTGACTTCGTATTTTCATTCTGCTTCAACATTCGAATGCCTTCTGTCCAACACTTCATATCACCACGTCTCCCGAAGCCCGGCCTCGACAACCTAAGATGAAGGTGCGCACAATCTGCTGCACAGGAAGGCAGCAGCGCGTCGCATCTCTGCGGCCATGCTAACCCCCGTCATAGTATCTACCACTCCAAGATTTCGACGCCGTCACTGGCGCTCTGAACTTCAACACCCCCGACTGCAATGTTACCGGCGGATGCGATTTGTACACGACGAAATCGACCGGTTCCGATAAGAAGCTCTACAAGAACATCGACAAGGACCTGAGCTCACAACATGCTGCGCTCCTTAAGCTTGGCGCCAGCCTGTCACCGCCAGACCGCGAAGCGATGTTGGCTACGTCACCAAACATGCAAATGTTCTCGCACTCAAGCGCGTTCGGCCCCTTATCCGAGCTGTCAAGTCGTCGCACATTCGCTTATCTGATCGCGACTTTGAATGCGAGTCACCAACATTACGACTTCTCGCACGTCCTGAGACCAGGCGACTTTAAGCGTGAGAGAAACTTGCGACGCGTCATGGGAAATCTCGACTCGATTCTGCAGAATGTGAGACCGCATGTCGAGGCACGCCCGGTCGAGCAGGCCACATCTTCCGAGACCAAGGCGGTCTGGGGCCCACAATGTTGGGCCAAGATCGATAAAGAAATGCGCCTCAACGAATGCACAGTTTTCAGCTACAACCCGGATGTCGACCCCTTTGAGGAGGACGAATCAGCCATATGGGCAGCGCACTACTTCTTCTTCAACCGCGCCTTGAAGCGTGTGGCTTATCTCTACGTGCGCGTCGTCCCTGTCGTCTCATCACAATCACCTCGTTTGCAACCAGCGCTTCCGGGATCTGTGAAGCGCCCGCGGAGTACCCAATTCGATGCGCTCAGTGCAAACAAGCGCGCCAAGTACTGGCTTGGTGATCGCGATGCTGAGGTTGTCGCTCCTTATGAGGACGACGAGGAACAAAGCGACGGCTTTCTCTGGAACCGAGGAGCCGACGGCGATCTGGTCCCCTTCTCAGACGACGACTACACTGACGAACGTTTCTACTACGACGAGGAAGAGGACGATGACAGTGTGTCGGACCGGAAGAGCCCGGTTCGGCGCATGAGTGAGGACGTCGTGGCCCACATGGAGATCTAAAGAGGAACCACTCCCCACTCAGCGTGAGTCCGCATGACTCTTATCGCCTGCCCCGTTTCATCAATGTGAGAGTTCTGGGGCTCTCGTTTCTCTGATTCCACCAGAGGCATTTATGACGCAAACGGAGCTTATTTGATTCAACACGCTTCTTATCAGAGCACTACATGGATAGCTCTTCTCGCCGAAGACCCACGACGGCAGTCTCCACTCCGGAGCTGTCGGGTCTGGTTTAGCAACAACACCGCGCCATCAACGGCCCAATTGTCGCATGATTCTTCTTCTTCTTCGCGTTTCCTAACCACGTCGGTTTTCAATCAGCAATTGTTGATTCGCTTGCTCTTTTCTTTCACTGTTCTTTGTACGCTGGCGATTGTAGCTTCTGCTTTTGCTCTGTTTTTCGATATTTCCTAGTTGTACTCGATGGCGGTGATACCCTCAAATGCTTTCTCGCCAGGTGGCGCTGGCTGGGAAACGGTAACTACAGGGAGGGTTGCAAAGGTGTGCGAATTTAAGTCCTGGATGGCAAACGGGACTCAAACGGGTCGGGCACGAAATGGAGTTGGACATGATCGGGTCCCCTGGTCGATGGCAGCGACTGGGCGGATAGTGACACCGATTGGAGTTTGGTATCTTTTGATTGTTCGAGCAGCTTACTGGTTTTCTTACTCGTTTCTTTCTGGTCTGTATTACGCAGTGATGAAAATGAAAGTACGAGCGGTACTCAACGTACATGAATCCCGCAATGATGAAGTACTTTTTATGGCCTATAAGGGACCAAGACGTACGGGATACTCATCCTGCTACACCACCGTGCTGTCCGCAGGCGTAGATTAACACAATCCAGCGTGATTGTTTCGACTCTCCATGATGTGCAATCTGTCATGTCTGCCCACCGCCAAACCCCCTCCACCACCACAGCCCACTTGAGGGGAGCGGATTCGGTGGGACTCAGTCTAGATTCCGACGTGCTCCGCTCATCCGAATGCGGAGATTCCGAGAAGGCGGGGATGGGGAGGGGGGCCCAAAACCAAACCAAACCAAACACAACACCATCGCAGCATCGGTATCCGCACCCGCATTCCCCGGGACCCGTCTTTCTGCATCTATCTTCGTTTGGCATGGTTCACGATCAGCGGTGAACATGAGCAACAGACTGATGAGGCCAGATACGGCAGGTATTCAAAGCATGGGAAGAATTACGATATTCAATAGCTGCGGATTTCCATGCGTGCTGTTGAAAAAACACCTGGCATGAGAGGACCCTGGGCGAGTAATACATCAACGGGATGAAAGATGGCACACGAGTTTGGGGGTCAATTAGGGAACGAAACCGATGAAAGCATTGGTCCGCCGTAGTTACTCTTGACATTAAGGTATATGTCCAAAAAAGAAGGTGCCCCCAAGGGACGGAACGTGTGCCACGTCGTGTGTCTCTCTCTATCTTTCCTTGCTTCCGTTTCGCCGCCTTGTTTCCCTTTTCCAACCATCAACTCGCTTCGCTCCCCGTGACGTTTGGCGGGGAGGAGGAGGATTCATGCGTCCCGGATATCGTCGTGTACGCCCGGAACGCCAACCGCACTATATGACAAAGAATCGTGATCTGTCTGCCTCCCGTTCCTCTTAACATGTGGGAGATGCTCCCTCCTCTCCAGGTCTTTCATCTCTCCTCGCAGGTTTGCAAAAAGACCGAAAGTGGTCTCGTTTGACGCAACTGCCCCAGCCCATTGAATGCGTCGTTCCCAAAGAAAATGCTAGAGGCGGGTTGCTGCCTCGGTGCACTGCTCGGGCAATATCATTACGAGTACAAATCTTGACATAAGGAAGCAAAATACAACCATGGAACGCCATCACTCCAACTTTTTGTTTGAGTCGCTTCCAAACGAAAGAAAAGGGGGAATCCTATGCGAAACAACTAGTAATGCAGCGACTGGAAAAAACACGATAGAAAACTGTCTGCTTGAAAGTCGTTAAACGTCAATCACGTCCCCTTCTCCGAGAGGTGTTGTTCTGATGAGGGCCCGTTGGCTTGCCCATTTGCCTGAACCGGCAATATAGCGTCTGCCTTTTCCTTGACGGTCTCCTTATGGACTGCTGAGCCGTTGGAAGCCTTCTGCGGAGTTGACTCTGGCGTCGTCTTCCTTGTCTGGCTGATCGTCTCGGGCTCCTCTGGAATCGTCGCAAACTTCTTCAGCACCTGCTTCAGAGCGGGCCTTCTGATAGGCTTGCTGAGGAATTCGTCCATGCCGCTCTCAATACATTCCTTGACATTGCTCTCCTCGGAGAAGGCTGTCAAAGCAACGATGGGTGCCTTGTAGCCCATCTGGCGGATTAGCTTGGTGGATTGTAAGCCGTCGAGGTTTGGCATCTGGATATCCATGAAGATGACATCGAATCGCTGATTGTTGTCCATGTTGGCCTTGACAAGGTCGTACGCCTCCTGCCCGTCTTTGGCAATAGTCACGTCGTAGACTGCTTCCAGCTTGAGCATCTTGCTCACAACCTCGATGTTAGTCGAGTTGTCGTCGGCAACGAGGACCCGTAGCTTCCCGCTGTTTTCGCCCTTGGAGGCTATTGCGGCATCGATCGCTGCCATCTGGGACTCCTTCGTGTTCCTCTTTGTTTTTGGTGCGGGATTCGACGCGAAAAAGGGTTGACTGAGACCGACAAGCCTGGGCTGTTGCTCCAACAGGTTCTTAGCCGTTGTCTCGCCGGCAGGCTTGATAGGTGTATGGTTCCCGCCAGAGTTGCGTTTAGGATCTCGAGGTATATCTGAAGGCTCGATTGTATCGACGCTGGGAGGCCGGGACTTGATGCTGCTAGATGCCGTGCTCGAAGTTCTACAGGGTATTAACTTCAATGTCTCCCCCGTTGATGGAAAAGCTTACCTGTCCTTGACATATTTGAGAGGAATTTGCATGGTAAAAGTCGTACCAACGCCAACAGTGCTCTTCAACGTGATGGAGCCGCCCATGAGGGTTGCGAGCTGGTGACAAATGCTCAAACCCAGACCTGTGCCACCAAACTTCTTGCTCAAGCCGAGATCCCCTTGCACAAAAGGTTCGAAGACCTTTTGTTGCATGTGTTCTGCGATACCTGGGCCAGTGTCCTCCACTTCGAACTCAAAGATATACGACTTTGCGCCTGGCGGTGGCGGCGTTGGAGATCGTTCTCGGATGTGAACGTGCGGGCTTGACTTGGGTTCCATTGGGTTGATGGTTAGAGCAGTGCCTTTAGGATTCTCGGTAGTTGAGTTGGCTCTGGAGCTTGTCGAGTTGTTCGAGCTGGAACCGACTCGGTGCCGAGACCTGCCGTGTCTTCGCGATTCCTTAGAAAACGAAGATGAGCGGCTCCCTTCCCCATTAAGTGCCGGGGTCTCTGCCTCGCCAATGCACTTGATCCGTACATCGACCCTACCGCCAGCCGGGGTGAACTTCAAGCTGTTGCTAACGAGGTTGATGATAACCTGCAGAATCCGGTGCGTATCGCCCCAGAGGCACATGTCCTTCAATCTGCCTGTACCGTGAGGTCCAAGGGCTGGTAGCCTTGTGTCCATGCTTCTTCTTTCGGGGCTTAGTTCGATGACATCGGATGCGAGGAAATTGACATTTAGAGTGATTCTGCCCTCTCTGACTTGTTTGTCGAAAATGGTAAGAATCTGCGACCGGATGTCCGCCAACCGGAATTCCTTCTCTTCAAGACTGAGCTGCTGGCCGATTTGGTTCTTGGAAAAGCTGAGGAGATCCTCAAGGAGATGAAGCAGCAAGTCACCTAAAACTGTCAGGAACGTTCACAAAAAGTCGCCAAATGGAGGCTTACCTGACTTGTAAAGCGTCTTGAGAGACTGCTTGATCCTGAGAATATCGTTCTCTTCCATGCACACGGCACACATTCCCAAAATTCCGTTGAGTGGCGTCTTCAACTCGTGAGAAATGTTTGCAATAAAGAGCGTCTTGCTTTCATTCGCAGCTTCGGCCGCCTTCTTGCTAATCTCAAGTTCTCGCGTCCGCTCAAGAACCTTCTGATCCAGCGACAAATATTGCTTGACCAGCTCGTCGCTCATATCGTTGAAGGTCTCGGTCAACTCGGTGAGCTCGTCGGTAATGAAATGCTTCCTGTCCGTGACCTTGCCAGGAATCTTAAAGATGCGACGGGTTGAGTCGCGGTCGTGTTCGGACGCAGGCTTTTCCTTTGGCTTGTATCCGACAAGCTTGTATACCGCTGCAATGATTCCATCTTTTCTCGAACGCTGGGATCGTGACGAGATAGCACCGGATCCGGGAGTTTCATCATCGTCTAACTCATCCCAGTCACCATCCTCATAGCCTGGCGGTTGGACTGTCTTCTCCGTGGCCGACTTGAGTCTGCGGATGGGCATGACACTGAGGTGTGCGCATGGAAAAATGAGAATGATTATCAGACCTGCTGTGCCGAACACGCAACCTAGAATGATATTCCGGAGGGTGTCTATTGGAGCATCTGCCTCGGACTTTGCCTGCTCGACAATGACGGTCCAGTTGACGAGGGCCGTATTGGTTCTCGCAAATCCGACAGCAACAGGGAGTCCTTGCTCGTTGTGCGTCGATAGCAGGGAACTGGAATTGTTTGGCGAAACAAACTTTTTCGAGAAAGAGTCAAAGACTGCTGGGTAGTCTCTCATTGGGAAAGGCTCATCATCCTTGCTGCTGGACCAGCTGCGCTCGTCGTGTCGATCGGCTTGTCCTGACAGCGGGTTGGGCGGAAGCACAAACTTGACCGGCACGCTCCCAAAAGTATCTCGGTTAGGCAGATAGGTAGCGTTACTGGCCGGCTGATCACTTGGAAACCTATTAGACGAGTTCGTTGGCCCGACAAGCAGGACAAGGCCGGTGTCTCCTAGGCCCTCCCGCGAGTTGCGCACACTGATTAACGAATTCGCCAGGCCGACGAGCGTCATGTAGCCGAGAATGAAATCCGGCAGGTCGTTGTCGCGGATGGGAACCGTTATCGATATGAGAGCCGCG